TGGGACTCCTGAGGCCTCAGCCTGAGAGAGCCTGGCTGTGTCAGAAGGGACAGGGAGTTTCCCCGGGATCAGTTAGACCCCCCTTTTGGAGAAGCCGGTTGGAAGTTCCAATGTCCCATGACTCCGGATCACCCATGATGGTGGCTTCTTCCTTGGACTCTCTCACTGGACTAAAGCTTGTGCTGTTGTAATTGATGTTGTGATGTTATATTTTTGGAAACAGCACAGCACGGTGGGAAAGACTCTGCATGGGAAGATGGGAATCAAGAAACCTGGGTTCTACTCCTGGCCATCAGTAACTCATTGTTTGGCTGTGGGCCTTGATTTGCCCCTCTCTCAGTGACAGAATTTGATGGTAGAATCTGTAAGGTTGCATTTAACTCTAAAAGTCCTGTACCTTTTTTGTTTGTTTTTGTTTTTTTGTTTTTCTTCTTTTTTCCCCCCTTTCCTGTTTAAAGGTACTTATATCCAGGTTAAAGCTGTAGAGAAGTTGGCTAGATCTTATGTACGGCCCCTTTTATAGAGTTGTAACTATGTGCTATTCATTGCATAAGGAACTTTAAAATATTATTCCGTCCTCACAAAAGCATTGGTAGATGCTATTCTATCTATTTTGTGGGTAAGGATATTGAGGCTCAGAGATGTTAAACCAGTTGTGTAAGGCTTGGTGACCAGTATGTGATGGAGCAGTTTACGGAACCCAGATCATCATCATGCTCTGTGGCTGACCTTACTGATGTAGCCTTTAGTGCGAGGACTTCCTCAGAAGAGAAGTCACTCGGGGCGCCTGGGTGGCGCAGTCAGTTGGGCGTCCGACTTCAGCCAGGTCACGATCTCGCGGTCCGTGAGTTCGAGCCCCGTGTCAGGCTCTGGGCTGATGGCTCGGAGCCTGGAGCCTGTTTCCGATTCTGTGTCTCCCTCTCTCTCTGCCCCTCCCCCGTTCATGCTCTGTCTCTCTCTGTCCCAAAAATAAAAAAATTAAAAAAAAAAAAAAAAAAAAAAAAAAGAAGAGAAGTCACTCTTTTAGCTGTCACATCTTTACAGCAAGGTGATAGGGAAACTGACATTTATGAGCCACTGGTATGTGCTCAGTATTGTGCTAGAAACCTTCCGTATGTGATGTCTTCCAGTGCCCGTAAAAGTCATAAGGTGAGTGGTGTTATTACCATTCACAGATAAAAAACTCGGAGCAATAAAAGACTTGATTGAGATTCTCACAGCCAGTAATTGGTAACCAAAGGTTTTAGACCTAGGTTGTGGGTTACCAAAGACTTCTCTTTTCCTAGTTCACACTTTTTCTCCACTGGAGGTGGATGAGGCTGCCCTGCCCAAAGCCAAAAGGCGATGTCTTGGATGCGGGGGATCCCTGTACAAATTCCAGGGGTCTCAGAAATTTATGTCATGACAGAGAGCTAGGTGCCTTCCTCCCATGCTCCAGGACACAGTTGTTCCCAGCTTCCAGAAACTTCCCTTGGTCCGTCCTAAGATGGTAGACTCATCCTACTTCCTTCCATCCCGTGTTGACACTCACGGGTGTGTACCCACACACACGTACCCACATGGTATCTCCCTTCAGTGTGGGTCTCTAGAAGACCTCTGGAGAGAGGAGTTGGGACGAATACTTGTTAGCTCACCTTCCCAGAGGAGGGCTGGGCTCCTGTTTTCCAGTGAGGGTCACCGAGATCCTTGCTGGGAGATGGAGCTCTCTGGAGGCTGCTAAGAGGCCCAAGTATTGACGATAGTGATAATAGGAGCATTTTATCTCAACTTTAGAAACTGCTGGCTGAATCCAGGCTGCAGTCCCTGTGGGGGCTGGGTTTTCATTCAGCTAAAAATTGATTAAATTTCTCTTACATATCTAGCACATGGTAAGTACTCAGTGTACATGTGGAATGCACGAATGAGTGAATGAATGAATGAATGAATGAATGACACGTACAAGTAATTTTAAGTGCAAGTGAGAAAAGCCAATTCCAGTGAAATGAATTTTCTAAAAACATTAGAATAATACTGTTTGAGTTTGTTGGGAGAGTGCTGGGAACAGTTGTGGAACCTGTTGGGAAGGCTTAGGAAGAGTAGAAGTGAAGGTACTCTTTGAGAAACTGGCAGAGATCTCTGTTTGCTTTGCAATTCAAATTCCTCAGGGAGGTTGGCTCACGATTGACCCCCTTCACCTTCCCCACATGATTCTGGGAAGGTTATCTACACCACGGAAGGCTTTCTGGGCAGGCACGTACGCTCAGAGTATCTGTTATAATAGATAAGGCAGCCCTGACCCTCCAGGGTTTATAGCCAGTAGGGAAAGACTGATAAATAAAGGGATAATTAACAGTAGGCTGTGTTGGATGCTATGGAAGGTCTGCACAAGATGCATCGGGAGCTTAGAAGTTTGTTTTTTTTTTTTTTTAATTTTTTAAGGTTTATTTTTGAGAGAGAGACAGATCATGAGTGGGGGAGGGTCAGAAAGAGAGAGAGAGAGAGACAGAATCTGAAATAGGCTCCAGGCTCTGAGCTGTCAGCACGGAGCCCGACGTGGGGCTCAAACCCACCACCACAAGATCATGACCTGAGCCAAAGTGACGCCCAAACAACTGGGCAACCCAGGTGCCCTGCTTAGGAAGGTTTTAAATTTTACATGAGGAGTGTCAGGGAAGGCCGACAGAGAAGATGGTTTGAGATTGAATTTAATTATTTTTATTTTTATTTTTTAGAGGTGGGAAGGGAGAGAGGGAGAGAGAGAGAGAATGAGAGAATGAGAATCCTAGTGCAGAGCCCTACACAGAGCTTAATCCCACAACCCTGGGATCATGACCTGAGCCGAAATCAAGTCAGAGGCTCAACTGACTGAGCCACCCAGGCGCCCCCAAGATTGAATTTAAAGGCTAAGTAAAATTTTTCCCGCTGGGCAAATGCATTTCAGGAAGAAGTCCTTCATGAAAGATGGTCTGTCCAGGAAAAGTGGGGAGTTCCAAGTGCCTGGTTTAGAGAGTGTATCATGAGGAGAGGAACATGGGCAGGGCCAGACCTTAATGGTCCCTATGTGCTCTGTTGGGCATTGGGACTTTTAATCCCAGGAGAACAGAAAGAATGACTTTTTAGGAAGATGAGTTTGGGCGCTGTGGCACTGCCATCAAGTTCAACTCCTTTGAATGTGACTGTTAAGCTTGGGTTGCCGAAGGTTCCAGACAAGCCAGAGAATGAGATGATGGCGGAGCCAGTCAAAACAGACTCCGCAGATGTTTGGAGAGTCCCAGATTTCTTTTCTTTTCCTCTTTTCATTTCTTTCTTTTCTTTCTTTCTTTCTTTCTTTCTTTCTTTCTTTCTTTCTTTCTTTCTTTCTTTCTTTCTTTCTTTCTTTCTTTCTTTCTTTCTTTCTTTCCTATTTGTTTTTGAAAGAGAGAGACAGAGTGCAATCAGGAGAGGGGCAGAGAGAGAGGGAGACACAGAATCTGAAGCAGGTTCCAGGCTCTGAGCTGTCAGCACTCCTGACGCAGGGCTTGAACTCACGAACCGTGAGATCATGACCTGAGCGTAAGTCGGACGCTTAACCGACAAGCCACCCTGGAGCGTCCCAGATTTCACTGGGAATTCCCAGTAATGCCATCATCTGTTGAAGGTTGGGGGGTTGGTAGTGGGTAAAGAGGAGAGGGCCCTGGGGCTTTCATCGCCCGTGGGGTTATGAGTGTTTGAGAGGGCTGTTGTCTACTGCAGGTTGTGAAGAAGCAGGTGTAGCGGCTTTTCCCCTCCCCACCTTGACTGGCAAGAACCAGTTCTCCCTCTGAGCTTAGAAACGGTCAGCATGTGGCGCAGTGATGGGGAGAGTGTAGACACGTCTCAGGCCCTGGATGCTGGGTGGGAATAGAAGCACTTCCTTTAGATAGCCGTTTTGTGATTCTGTAGAGGAAGTGGAATGAGATCAAGAAAGCTGGGGTCCCCAGGGGTTGCTGGGGGCCGAAGGGAGAGCTTCCTTTTCCTTATAAACATGAGCTCTGACAGGGGATGACACACAGTACTGTTTTTTTTTTTGTTTTTTTATGCAGTAGGTGGTTAATGAAAACAGGAAAACCTTTGTTTCTACCCTGAGGATTGGAAGCAAGTGCTTTGGAGGAATTGAAGCTAGAAACTGTTCTCTTTGTTTTGCTTTGTTTTGTTTGAATGTTTATTTATTTTTGAGAGGGAGAGACAGAGTGCAAGTGGGGGAGGGGCAGAGAGAGAGGGAGACACAGAATCCGAAGCAGGCTCTAGGCTCTGAGCTGTCTGAGCACAGACCCCGACACGGGGCTTGAACCCACGAACCATGAGATCATGACCTGAGCCTGAGCCATCCAGGTGCCCCGAGGCTAGAAACTATTCTGATAGAGATGTCTGGTAGGGTGGATCACACATTTGAACATTGTGGAGAAGGGATTAGGAACATGGGGCCCAAATCCAAAAGACAGGCTAGAATCTGCCTGTCTCTACATTTTTGCTGTGTGACTCTGGCCAAGTTGTTCAACCTCTCTGTTTTAGGTTCTCCAACAGGAATGAGTTATAATAATGTCACCAGTACCACTGCGGACCCCCACTCCCACCTCCAGCAACAACAATAACAATAACACCTGGCATTTATTGAGTAGTCGCAGTATGCCAGGCACCGTGCAAACATGTTTTAACTTCCTCGTCTCATTTCTTTCACCACCCCCGAAGTACATAGTGCATGTCAGCATTTTACAGATAGGGAAACCTGGCACAGTGATGTTAGTAGCTTGCCCATCCCTCCCTTCCTTCCCCCACCCCCTGCTAGAAGTCAGTAAACAGTGCAGCTCGGGTTTAAATACAGGGTGATGGAGTCCGATATATTGCAGGGCTGTTCTGAGTTTTAAAGGAGATTATGTCTGTATAATGTCTAGTATAGATGTAGCTCCTGGTGAGCCTTCAAGTTCTGTTAGCTGTTTCTTGTGTTTTTAGCCTCACCCCATTCCTTTTTGTCTCTCACAGAAGCAGCTGACACAGGATGATGATGCCGACGAGGTCGAGGTTGCCATTGACAACACGGCTTTCATGGATGAGTTCTTTTCTGAGGTAGGCGACCTTCCTGTGCTTTTTTCTGAATGTACATAAGGAAACACAGCTTCCTGTGTAAAGAATAAAACTCGGGTCTTTCAGGTGTAGCAGAGGAAAGCTGGTCTTTTCCTGGGGTGAGGCGGCCAGACCCAGAAGTTACTGGGAGATTTCTCTTCAATACGTAATTGGGAGGGTTTGGATTTTTAATCTTCTTGAGAAAGTCAGCAGAAGGTAAATGATATGTAATTAATGAGATGCTTTTAAAGTCTTATGCTGCATGACAGCATTTTAATGATCTTCTTTCTTACCTAAGTTACATAATTTCAATACTGAGTCAACCATGGGGTCACAGCCATGTGTGAAAAAAAAAAAAAATACATCTTTAAGCTTGTGATTCAGATTGATCAGATTTGTTGTTTCCCAAAATTCAGGCCCTTTGACTTAATTCTAGTGGAAACTGGGAAACTAAGAAACCACCAGTTTATTTTTTTCATGTTCAACAGGGGCAAAGATGGGTTGCTCCTGTCTACAGATTCACATAATCTTTGATCTCGAAGGTCCTTCTTGGGAGAGACTATGGCAGATGGTGAGCGGTGGGATTCAAATCTCTGCTCTGCTTCTGACCAGCTGGTGATCTTGCCAATGTTCCTTCACATACTTGGTTTCCTTATCTGCAAATTGGGAGTGATAATGTAATCCCTAGGGTTATTACGAGGATTAAATGGAATAATGTTTATAAAGCATTCAGTATAGCATCTGACGTGTCTGTGCCTGGTGAGTGATTCTCCAGACCAGAACAAAAGCATGAAGAGTTCAGTCATGGAAGTTTCTGCCATCATACTGTGGTTTCTTTATTTAGGTTTTTTATTTTTTTTGGAAAGAAGACAAGAGGCGCCATATTGTTTCTGCAGGAGGAATGTGGGCACCTCCCGTCTCTAGATTGTGGATGTGGAAAGTCACGCTCTAGCTTGCGGGGCCTGGCGGTTCATGGCAGCTCCTCTGGTGGAGTGGGTAGCCGGTGTAGGAGCGGACTGGCGTACGTGTGGGCCTGAGTGGGAATTTGGCTGTGAACACTCCACGGTTCCCCACGCTCTTCATGGGTGGGTCTGTCCTTTTGGCCAAGAAGTCGTGGTGAGACCGAAGAGCGCAGAGTTTTGTGAGGCCAGAGCTTGTTCCAGGTGTGGATCATGGAAAGAGAACGTCTTCTCAGTGGTGGGGAGGACTTCAGGAGTTGTTGGATGCCACTGTCGCTTGCCCTCCGATCTTGCCTTGGATGACCAGATACGTTAAGGGACTTCTTCCCTAAGATAAGGCAGCTTCGCCAATTATGGTCTTCTGCCTCTTCTCCTAACCCAGCAGGAGGGTCTCTGAAGGGCAGTATCCCCTGCCAAGTGGGAAGGTGATGTGCCTCCAGGACATGCTCTCAATTCATCCTCATGCATTTATTTTATTTTATTTTATTTTTTTTTATTTAAAAAAAAATTTTTTTTTTAACGTTTATTTATTTTTGAGACAGAGAGAGACAGAGCATGAACAGGGGAGGGTCAGAGAGAGAGGGAGACACAGAATCCGAAAC